CCTCTGAACCCGTCCCCGCGGAAGAACCTAGAGTTGCCATTGGCAGGTGAGACCTTCAATATGGGGATGTTACTCTTGAGCTCGGAGGAAAGGGGGAAGAACACGTTCGAAGGGAACAGGGACATATTCTTGGGATCTCTCGAGGATGACGCTTGGCAGGAGTTCCTGGAGGAATTCAATCGAGAAGTGGGCAGCGAGACGACGCTGGACAAGTTCAAGAAGGAACTGTGGGACGCAGTAGTGAGATTCGGGGAACCGCTCCTGATAGGAACGGGCCTGGATGAGAAAGCAAGAAAAGAGCTGCTGAACAAGCTAGTGGAGCTGAGGAACGCACGATCGAAGACTAGAAAAGAGAAATGTGAGGACAGCTCTACTCTGAAACAAAAAACTGTGGATAAAATGGTTGATGATATAAAAAGGGATAAGGTTGGGACTAGTAATATGATTAAAAGTACTAATATCCTTAAGGCTCGAGCAGGGGGGAGGCAAGAGTTGGAAGGAGTGGATGGAGAGGTCGAATCAATGATGATAGCCACAACACCCTCGAGCAGAGATGTGAAGACTCGCAAGAGGAAGAGAGAAGTGGAAGGATGGGGTAGTCCTTCAGTGGATGCTGTTTCGGAAGGGAACTTGAGAGAGACGGCGCCCATCGTTTTGGCCCGATGCAAGACGGCGGCATACAAGAACAGCTCGGAGCTCAGGAAACCACTTGAAGTAGAAAAGGAAATAGAGGTTTCCACCAGTTCTACGTCAGAAGAAGACTTCAAGCCTCAGAAGGTAAACGTGAAGAGAGGTTCAACGAACGGACAGGTAGGGGAAGTGGAGATCGGCAAAGAATGGATCTCGAAGGCACATCAGGACATGGGCAAACAAGTGACGAGTGATCCATTGGAGAGGAACAAGACGAGGAACACTTCCCGGACGTGGTGGGTGGCCCTCGAAACATTGAAGGAAATGGAGGACTGCTTGAAGAAGTTGGACAGTGGAATAGCTCGCAGGCGACGCAATTGGGCCACCCAGCAAAAAGCCGAGGTTAATAAGATAGAGATGGCAAGTCATCTGAAGAGGTCCTGGCAGAGTTTGTTGAAGGATCATTTTGAAGAGGCGATGAGAACATCCTCATCAGCACCGCCACTAATGGCGAATCCCTTCGTTAGAACTGCGGGACAATTAATGTTCACCTGGAGTCTGGTGGGAGTAGAGTTGGAGACATTGACCTCGTATGACAGGCTGAAGTTGGGAAGCAAGAAGCTAGAGGTGTATCAGGCACTGATGCAACACGTGGCCAGGGACAATTCAGGCTTGAGCCTGGCTAGAAGAAAAGATGCCACATGTTTCTTGAGATGGACAATGTCAATGATGTCTGATAGCACCATCCTGGCATGCCACCAGAGAGCAAGTGGAAGTAAGACCATGGAGAGAAGAGTCTCAACGATCATCTTGAACGTATATCAGAGTACAGGAATAGAGAAAGAAGATGGTTCCAGACTATCCTTAGAGAACCATCGAAAGCTGGACGAGATACGGAGGTTCTCTAATAAGAAGTTCGAGGAAGAACATGATGTTCACCGTAACCTGGCCTCGTCAGAACAGTACTCGAGACTCAGTGAGAAGGGGGAATACCAATATGTGTCTGGAGTGATGGGAATAGCCTACAATCCCTTCTTAGACTCGGAAGCTGGAGGAGCCCACAGAAACCATGAGGTAGCGGAGCTACTGAAGTTTTGGACAGAAAGGATAATGGAGATAGACGCGGTGGAGAAAGAGGGGCCGAGCCTGGGCCTGATTCTTGAGAAAACACCAGAGGTGATGAGCATACCGCGCTCAAACAAGAGAGTTGAAGTGAGCATGGGCGGTGGAGATGGCTTGTTAACCACGAACTTGGGAGTGATATGGAAGCTACTAAGACCCTCCTGGTGTCCACATCCCCATGCGAGTCTAATCGAGGAAACCACCGAGCGAGTGAGGTTAGCACCAACGGAAGATGAAGATCTGGCGAAGTTGAGTGTGCTACATAAGCTAATCACACCCCAGATGCAAGAGCCAAGCGAAAGGACGAGCGACCCCGGGTCAGCGAAGAAATTGGAGCCGGGTAGCTGTCTGGATTCGACGTGTGGGAACGGAGAGCACATCTGCGATGGACGGTCATGCGTCAGAATACTGTCGTTTCAAAAAGAAGACCTGGTCACTTGGTTCGAAGACATCACAGAAAGGGAGAAAAGTGAAGTGCAAATAATAGCGGAATGTTACGCGAGAACCACGGTGAATATAGCGACAGCTCTCGGATTCTTCTCGAGAATGTGTGGTCTGCAGGCACTGGAGAGACTGGAGTCTGAACATCATTTAGTGACGGCGTTGAGCGTAGAATCATGGCCCGGGGTGTTGCAGGTGACTCAAAAACACATCCGGAGCTGGAAAGTTGGTCTTGAGGCGGAAATGGGATTTCCCCTGAGCGAAGCTTATGGCTTGCCATTGAACGCGAAATCGCTGATAGGGTCAATGATGGCCAACTTGTGCGGAAGTCACTACCCGCTACACATGGCGATGGTGGAAGTGTCCAGCCAGAGAATACTGGTGGACAAGGCCTTCTCAGTGCCCAAGTGCGTGAGGTTGGCTCGGATGTCGCATCACTCGCACAAGTTGTTGAGAAAAATCAAAGGAACAGTACCAAAAGAATTGAGAGATGACTTAAGCGAAATCTGGGGAGAAGATCTTCTGAAGTTGGAAAGAGAAAACACAAGCGATCACGAGAGACAAAACGTGATCGGGAAACCTGTGGGAAGTACTCCAAACCTGGAAGACAACGACACGATGCACGAGAAAATGATGGAGCTTGAGCCTCTCTTGGAAGCCTCAGGGGAGCGCAATCTCAGGAGCATTGAGATCTCTCATGGGGAATGCCCATGCCACTGTTTGGCACAAACGGTGTGGTATCCAGATCACAAGAACCTTTGCCTGGTGTGGGATGTGGAAGAGATTCGGTCGATCGGACTACCGGATCACCGGCAGAAGGTGACGCTCTTAGTAGTGAGTACGATGTTAGCTCTGAGATGGATAGAAGAGAATATAACGAAGTATCGGGAGGCGACGACGCCAACGGCTGAGTCAATATACGCGATAGACTACAGCAGGAGACTTGAGTTGTTTGAGACTGCGTGCAAAGTATTCGCCATACCGACGGAAGTCAGGCACGTATGGAGTCGCTTGAGGTACTTTCCATGGTTTCGGGCGACACTGACGTCTTGGTTGTACAGGGCAACGAAAGATCACATGAGAAAACATCAAAAGGAGTATCGACAGTTCCAGGCCGAGATTGGGCCGGAAGCTTTCAAGAGACCCCTGCTAACCCATCGTAATGCGATCACGACGGGATGGAAGAGAGTGGGTAAGATGTCTAGAGACAATACCAAAGCGAGGGAGTCGATACTAGAGGAAGACCTGGCGAAGAACGTGAGCTTGAGCCTGCACAACTCCTTTTGCTTGAACCGAGAAGCTAGGGTGAAGGCACTACCCAACCAAGCAAAGAGATTGCAGGAGCAGAGAGAATGGATGCGATCCTATGAACAGCTGAAGGCATGGGAGGAGATTGTGATTAGTTCCGATGATGAAGAGGAGCTGTTGAGACAGTTTGCCGCATCTAGCACTTCAGGATGCAGTACCTCCAAGGCGAAGAGTACGAGATGAATGGGCAAATCGGATGGATCTTGAGTCTTGAGAGGGAAAGGGGGCTTGAGTGTGAATCCGAGTGAAACTTGGATTCACGAAAAAGAAATTTTAACAAAGCAAATATTGTTACTAATATACTATATCTATTATATAAATCAAAATGCTGCATGACAATTTCCTGATTGAATAGGACAAAAGAGATTTTTAAATGATTGGCTTGAAAAGCGAAAATTCAAAGGTGCAGGCAAATGCAGATTTTGGTTGCTGTTTAGCAATAGTGTGAAAATTTTAAATGGTCGTGAATTTTGGGGTGTAGATAATCTTAAATCTGCTGCAAACTTCTGTAAATGACCACTGGCACTGTATCTTGAGCAACACTCGGTTTTTCTGGGACTCACTGGCAGAAGACAGCGCGCGATGAGGACATCGATCTCGAGTCCGGGGAGTATGTGCCAGTCGGTCATATTTGGAAGTTTGACCTTGAGAAGAGCAGAAAACACTTGATTTTGGAGTGAAATTTAAATTTTTAAAATTTCGAATGGAACATGTCATGCACGATTTTCTCGCGAGAACTGAAAATCAGAAAAAGAAGGAAGAACAATTTTAGAACAATTGCGGGAAAGTTGTCAGATAAAAACGAGTGGGAAATTGCTATTCGCAATTTCCATCATAGTGAACAAGAGTAGAGCTGTCCTATCTGAAATAGAAGACAGAGTATTCCCGAGAGAGTAATTATTCGAACTGGACCAGAGTGAACCTTCGACGGAAAGGTGGACAGCTTGAGTGTCCCAATGGTCCACATAAAACTTCGTTCTTGAGTTCAAACTTACCCTTACCATTCAAACTGATAAACATTGAACTTATCTAGTTACCTTAGTTAATTCTAGAGTTGCTCACCCATTTAATTACTTCCTGTGCTTGAGCGCATCAACATGTGAGTCCTTAATTTAAATTTCTAGAGTGTGTTTTATGATTGTTATGTTGAGGTAAGGCGAGTTTTAGGTTGATCCATCTGAAATGGATCAAAGTTACACTGTCTAATAAAAAGTAACTTAACGGATTGTTCCAACCCGGTTTTTAACGGCGTTCATGTATTTTGGGTATCTAGAGACCTAAGTATGGGGACGTTTCTAATTCTAGAGTGGGGGGATATTTTGGTAGTAGCCTTAAGCAGTAGCGGGTCGTAGTCTCATGTCACAAGCGAACCGAATTGGCTCCGACTGATTTGAGGTGGAAAAACACAAGAGATAGTGTCCCTGACTCCCGAGCCAATAGTTATAGGGCCTATTTTTCTTAAGCCTCATGTGTGACTGCAGTAGACGAATGTTACATGGAGCAGAGATGATCTCAGTGGAGACAATGGAATTTTGTCCTTAATTCTCTGACAGGATGTTAGTTCCGTTAGCTATATACCCAATAAAAAACTTACAGAGAAAAAAATTGATTGAAGTTGGGTGGCTCAAAATATATATAATGTTAAGAGTATGTTTTTGTTTTTAGTTCCAAGAACAATTCTTTAGGATGTCAGACTGAAGAAAATTTCAGGAAAAAATCGGAAATCGATATAATTTTGGAAAAGATCTGCCAGGAATGGTGGCAGTCCTACTCAGCACTGAGTAATGCTGCAGAGAATTCGCTAGAAAATAGTGCAGCAGTAAAATAGATTAGATCCTTTGCGGATATAAGTTCGCCGGTGTATAAAAAATTATTTTTAAGTTTGGTGTATTTAAATTATTTTTGAGGTTTTGTTTTATTAAAATAAGATTTAATACATAACATGCGTTTTTTTAGTTGAGTATACATGTGAACAAATTATCTTGTCATTTAAAATTTGCTTTATATGCTTCAAAAAGCCTGTCTCTAAATTCCCTCCCTGGGCCTTCTTACAAGCGAACCATGAGCATCATATCAAACATGAAACTATTTAAAAGTTTTCTACAACAATTAGGCTTTATAAACTTAAATAACTTGTCTTAATGCTATGCTTTCAGGTTAGATGACAACATTAGGTGCACTAAATGGTTCGCTTTCACCATCTGTCACTAACAAGGCTGTATCGTTATATTAGTTATTTGATCTATCTCAGCATTTTCTTTATTCTCTGCGTAAAGCTTGGTTATAGAAGCACGGAAAATGAAATCAGAGATCTTTCGGAGATAGAACTTGAAGAACATAATGGCTTGGTTCTGCCCATCAAAACGCAAAATGTTTCTTTGACTATAAATTTGTCTAAACAAAATTGTCCTAATAATAGAATCTCTAATCCGTCTTTAGACGACGTGAGGTCAATATTCTATAACTTGAATACTGCCAAATGCGTACGGAATGCAAACGGATTGAAATTTCGAATAAACTTTGTTGTTTTAGTAATGGTTAGTGACGATGCTATGGTTCAAATCATTTTTTGACAAAAAATTGATGTTAAGTTTCTTCGAAAAATTTTGAAGATTTATGCCTTTCTCATATTTTTTAGATGCAGGAAAAAAATCAATTTTTTGGTTTTTTATCAACATTCTTTCTTTCTTTAATATGCAAGGTTGTGACAAAAAATAACAAACAGTTTGTTAACATGATTTGCCCCTATTTGTGTCCTCTTTCACAGGTACATAACAGAGCTGAATACCTTCAGTTTTTGATTGAAAGTATCACAAATCAGCGAAGTAGACAGCACTTAAACGAGACACTTGTTGTATTCAGCCATGATGTATACGACGAAGAAGTATTCAACAAAATTGAGGAAATCACAACTTTTAAGGTAATTTTTTATTGATGCTCTACAATAACGAAAGAAACCTTCTAAATATGTATAAAGATTGCAGGGTTTTCATTGAACTGCCGTTTTGAAAAATAAAGTTTTTTTTGCCCAATTAAATTGTTCTTTGAAATTATCAAGCTATTAGTTATGCGTTTAAGATTGTTCTCTGAAAGTATCAAGCTATTAGATTTGCTTTTGGAAATCAGAATATCGCAAATTTTGTTTTACAGTTTTTGGTTTATTTCTTAGAAGGGTATACACTCGACGCGTTCAAGAAGTCAAATACGGAGCGATGTGGAAATTGTCGTGGCTATTGTTTTTTTCTTGTTTATAATCAGCCTTTCTGCGTTGGTATTGTTTGCATGGGTATTCTTTGGTAGTGAAAAACAAGTTTTTTTCTTTTTTGCATTTTTGGTTAGAACTTTAACTTTTCTAAGGTAGTACGTGAGTATCGGGTGGTGGAAATGGTCTCCAAGGGCATGCACTGTCCAGGTTATGTCTGCAAGTGTTTCTTCTGGCAGGGCTATGAAGAAGGTACATTCATTCGCGCACAAATTTCGTGCAACTAAGCATGTTCTCTGCAAACAATTTTACGACAAACAAATTTTTGTACAAACAACAAACAAATTATCTACAAACAAATTTGTTCTCTACTCTCTAAACTTACGAATATAATATGTTTTCTGTTTTATGTGAAAGTGTGTTTCAATTCCGCTTGCGATTCATTGGCAAGCGTTATCAAATTGGAATATAGACTTTTCTGGCTTGAGAAGTTTAGCAAATGCACTTGAATTATTTGACATTTCGATTAATATAAAATCGTCATAGAAATGGGTGCGGATATATTCTTGATTTTTTTGGGTCAAAATCCGGTCTTTTTATCTATCTGGTATTATTATCCTCTTTGTTTTTTTTTTTTAATTTTTGCTTGAAATTCACTAAGCTTAGTTTCTGGTATTTTTGGTTCATTATGAGTAGATTCAAAAGCGGTTTCGGAAATTCAATGCAAACTGATTACCCTTGCGATAAGCAAGGGTAATGCAATCGGGTACTAGACTTTTTTCCGTAAATGACTTGTTCACAGAATGACTAGTTATGTTCAGTTCGAACGAATTCAAATTTCTGCCTCTCCGGCACATTTGTCTGGAAGTAACGAATGCGCCTGGGACGGCAAAGGTCCTGGGTTCCAATCTGACAGGACCTGTTTCGGACTTGTGAAAATATCCGTTTCAAAGAAAAATTGTTGGCCTAATTGTGCCTGCCTATGTTGTGTCGGCTTAGTTGCCATACTAGAATTGTTTTTTTTTAAATTTTTTTTAGACATTTTAGTTGCTTTTAGTGTTCTGATTTACCTCTGCTATTTGTAATTTTACTAAGCATGACTTCGTATTTTTTTGTTTGTTCTTTTTTCGCTGAAAAACTTTACTCCGCCCAAATGATTTCGGCCTATTTTTATTGGTTTTGTGACTTGATTTTGAGTCATTTCAACGGAAACATGTTTCTTATGCTCACCTTTGGTTCGAACAAACTGCTAATAATCTTAATAGAAATTGTAGTTCAAGTTTTCCATGACAAGGAGTTTAAGGGTTTTGTTTTTTTTTTCGGCTTTTTTGTTTTTTTTTCTCCTTTTTTCGGCTTAACAGGTTTCGGCCTATGTAATATCGGCTTATTGACCTCAGATTGCGTTTTTCGACGAGCGGAAAAGATTTGTGTGTGCGTGTTTTGAGGGTGAGGGGGACTTTTTATTAGTTTTAAATTTTTTTGACTTCTTTTTTTTTCGTTTTCCTGCTTTAAGGCCATATTATTTTTGAAATTATAACTTGAGGTTTTAAAAAAAAATTTGCAAATTTTAATTTGTTTTCTTTTTCTCAAAAATTTCGCTTGCTTTATAAATGCTAAATATAGTTCTTTTTTTCATTGAGAAAAACTAACTCACAAAAAATAGTTTTGATCTGCATTTTTTTGTTTCAACAAATATAGCTAAAAATTGAAAAGCAGTGTTTCATTGAGGTAAAAAAAAAATACTTTTGATTTGCAATTCTTCGTTTCAACAAATATAGCTACAAATTATGAATCTATGAAATATAGTCTTATGTTATGAATATATTTTTTCGAATTCAAGTCGCAAATAAAAATGTTGATTTAGTAGCTTTTGGTTACATTATATTGGCCATTTTCAGCATCTGTTCTGTTCTCTATTGTATTGGTGGCTAATGTTTGACCTTTATCAAGCGACGAAAGATAAAAGGACGTGGGACTCCTAATTTACAGGTCGGAGGTTCGATTGCGGCTTATAGCAAAGTATTTTTTTTTTCAAGGCTTATTTTAACCTTTTCCTTATTTTACGTTTTATCTTTTTAGAGCCTTTTTGTGTGGACTAGTTTTTTATGCGTTCACTCTTGTTATTTATTTTTAAAATTGCAAGAAATGCGAAGCTTCTGTTTGCCTCTGTATATGTTGTTTATTTTAGCAGTTTTCATAGCACAGATTTTCTCGCAGGTTTTATTACATAAGCGCAGTTTTTGAAGCTTAATAGTTGTTGACTTCTGCATAATTACGCTTGCGATAAGCAAGCGTTAACAAATCGGAATATAGATTTTTTTTTTGCGGATTAACATCTTCTTTAACAGAATCACTTGTATCTAGGTTCATATCGAATTCAAATTTATATGCGTGTCGGACACTTAGCCTGGAGGTGAAGAATACGTCTGGGACGGCAAATGTGGGTTTGAATCAAACCAGGAACTGTTTTTTTTTGAAACTGGAAATAATTCTCTCCGAAAAAAACCGGCACGCAATTTTCTATATAGTTGCTTTTAGTGTTCTGAATTGATCCTGCAATTTTTAATTTTACTAGCCTTGAATTCGTAATTTTTGCTGTTTTTTTGTTAAAAACTATTCGGATGCAAAATATTTCGTTTCGTCGGCTCAGTCAACGCTTGTTAATTTTTTTGAATTATTTTTTATTGTGAGTTTTTTATGGAGGTGTTTTCCCCAACGAGAACATGGTCCCAGACAACATTTTCATTATTTTTCTCAATTTTGAACTTAGTGGCTTTCTTAACCTGCGTGCTAGCTTGCTATTTTAATGTATCAAAAGTGGTGCGAAGCTCCACTTCGCCTCTTTGTTTAACTTCTGAGATTTTTTCCGGCAAATTCAGGCATTGTCCAGAAAATGAGCTCTCTGTATTATGTGACGCTTTTTCAAATTGTGAATCTATTATATATTTAAATGCGGGCTTCAGTATCTCGCCATGTTTAAGCTTTTTCAACGTATTATTTTTGCATGTTTAAGCTATATCGTATATTGCAATGGTTAAGATTTTTGTTTTCGATTTTCCAATTTGATTTTAGTGGTTACTTTACCGAGTTCAAATTAAGCAGCCCAATATCGAATTAGGGGTGGCGAATTTGGCCTCCAATTTTGAATGCCCGATCATTTTAGTTAACGAGATAAGACGATTTTTTCAAAATTTTTCAGAAATTTCAAATAAAATAATTTTAAAACTTGAAGTCCCCAACCCTATAGTTGGGTGCTGTCAGAGGAGTTACAAATCTTGCCTCCAAATATGACAGTTCAAATCTTTGTAGTTTTCGAGATATGACGTTTTTTGTGATTTTTTCAAAAAATTTTCAGAAAACTTAGATTAATTTTTTTTTCGCAAAATCTGAAATTCCCAACCCTGTAGTTGGGTCCTGTCAGAGTATTCTCAAAGATTGCGGAACTTGACTCCAAATATGATTGCTCACTTCTTTGTTGTTTTCGACATATGACGTTTTTTTGCGATTTTTTCAAAAATTTCCAGAAACTTAAGTTATTATTAGTTTTTAAAAATCTGAAATTCCCAACCCTGTAGTTAGCTTCTGTCAGGGTACTCTCAAAGATTGCGAACCTTGTGTCCAAATATGATTGCTCAGTTCTTTGTAGTTTTCGAGATATGACGTTTTCTGTGATTTTTTATAAAAATTTTCAGAAAACTTCAGAAAGTTTAAACTAATAATTTTTCAAATTTTGAAATTTCCAACACTATAGTTCGGTGTTGTCAGGGTACTCTAAAGAGTTGCAAATCTTGCGACTGCTAAACGCGACTGCTCAAATGTTTTTAGTTTCCGTGATGTGACGTTTTTTGATTTTTTCAAAATTTCTCGAAGAACTTATCTACAAAGAAATTCAAAAAATTTGAAAATACTAATTTGAGGAAGATACAACCTTATTGTCAGCGTACAACCAGGCGTCTCAAATCTTGCCTCCTAATTTGAATGCTCAAATCCTTTAAGTTTCCGCGATAAGACTTTTTTTAAATTTTGTTTTTCCGGGAAACTTAGGTTCAAAAAAATTCACAAAATTTTGGATTCCTAACCCTATAGTAGGGTGCTCTCAGGGACTCTCAGTGGTTGCAAAGCTGGCCTCCAAGTTTCTCCAGAGGCCCATTAAGTTTTCGAGATGACGCTTTTAAAATGGGAATTAAAAAAAATTATAAGTTCGAAATTACCAACCCTGTAATTGGGTGCAGTCAGAGTACACTAAAAGTTTGCAGATGTTGTTTCCAATATATGCGGTTTTTTTATGAGCTGTCGAAAAATTTCGAAGCACCGAAGGTGCGTTAAACGCTAGTTTTTTTTTAATATGACGCAAGCGATCCAATCCGAAGCTCCAGTTTGCCCTGTATATCCTGGAAGAAGTTCAAAGATTAATTGCAAAGGCGGATGTCATGGTAGGGGAGTTTTTGAGAAAGCACGTGAGGGGATTAAATCGCTTGATACATAGTGTGCGGGACGGATCAAGTTATTGAGTTTTTCTTTATTTTTTATACTTGCGAAAGCAAGTGTCTTGTAATCGGGAACTAGACTTTTTTCCCGTAAACAAGTTTTGTTACATTTGAAGTTGAAATTGTGGTTACTTATTAGTGAACCTAAGAAAAACCGAGACTGGTTCTCACTGGGCCTAGAGGAAACGCGATTGTCTCTGTATTGTCGTAGATGCAAGTGTTTTTGATGCATTCCTGTAATTAAAAAAATAAATAGTCCTGATTATTTTTATTTTAATTTTTTTTCACATTAAAACGTCATTCGAACTAAATGTTCAATCAGGTAGTCTATCTTACAAAATATCAAAGATTTGAAACTTTATTGCTCAAAATTTTTCTATGTGATAAATTTTTTATTCGTTTTTTTTTTACGGAAAAACGAGCGGTTGCTTATAGCTCATCGAACACGGTTTAGTGGCCGCTCTATGAAAAATTAAAGAAATGTTTAAATCTGTTTGTTGTTTCGTGACTATTTTTTTGCATTTTTTTTTATTTTTCGCTAATTATGTTCGTTTTTCGATTAAGTTATTTCCGTCTCATTTTTTTTCGCTAGCTTGCAATCCTGTGCTTGTATTTTATCGCAAGTGAGACAAAGCTCTGCGTCGCCTGTGTTGATTCCTCTTTCTGGTTATCATCTTCGATTGTAGAGGCCCGAGGTTAAAAAAGGTTGCGTATGTTTTTGACTTGAAGCCTATAGTAGCTGTTTTTGTTGCACATTAACCTGATACTAGAAATGTAATTTACAATTTCATCGGTTTAAATATATATAAATCAATTTGCCGCTAAAATAATTTTTCAATTGGCAAGGTTTTACTGGATCAAATTTTTGTTCACGGCACTCATCTCATAAAAACTGGTCGACCAAGAAACCTGTTTTTTAACAGAAATATTTTCAGTGTGTTTGCTTTGAAAATGACTGTCCGTATGTGAAAATTTTAATTCTGTGACTTTGTAAAAAAATGTTTTGCTACTAATTTTTTACACTTTTCCGAGAGCTTGAATGCTTTTCCGCTATAACTACTGAGTCTGTTAAGGTAATAATTAAGTATTTCAAATAAACATTACGTTATGTTATCTGGTACGGTTCTTTATCGGATAACTTTCCAAAGCTTGGGTTTTATTCTCATTTAAACAGTTTGTACCATAATTGAAGGGTTATGTTGTATCGGTATTTTTCATGACAAAAATTTCGTTTTGGGCCTAACGGGAATCGACTCAAACTTTTTCGGTTTAGTTACCGCTCGCCAAACGGTCACCGAAGGTTTTTCGAGGCTGTCTATAACCATCTTCCGAGACATGTGAAGTTTTTATTCAAGTATTATTTTTTTTCGTCTTTTTCAAGTAATTATTACCCATGTGGTGAGTAACCGGCCTCTAAAATTTTAGTTAGCTGGATCTTCAATTTCAGTTGATTTTCCAAACTGTACTTTCATTATTTTGTCAATCAATAGACTAATTTTGAACATCTCTGAATTACTGATATGATGAAATTTCATTTTTCGTTTTTTCTTGTTTTATACTCATTTGGTTTTAAAAAGGCTCGGCCTATTTTGTATCGGTTTTGTGCTCTTATATTGGGTCGTATGGGTGAATAATTTTCTCAAGTGTGTGTTTTTTGAGGGAAAGGAATTTTTTTGGCTGAACGGTTGTCTGATCAATTATTGTCGGCTTTGTGGCCACGTTGAAATTTTTTGTTGCGATGCTTTTTTATTAATCAATTGTCTCAATTGACTTGTTTTCCTCAAAAGAAAGTTTCGGACCAAGTTTAAATCCGCCAAAGCCGTTTAGGTGGGAGGATGTTAACTTGATTCTGAGTTCGAATTGTCAGCCAATCAGAATAGCACATTTTACACGCAGCGCTTGGCAAATTTAATTTAAATTCAATGCGGTGGTGGAGGATCGTGGTCTTCTTGGGGGGGGGGGGGGGGGGAGGAGGAGGAGGATGTTAACTTGATCCAAAACTTCATTCATGACAAATTGCTACAAACATGAAAATTATGGTAGATTTGACGATATGGTTTGCCACAAGATCTTTGCAATTAGCAACAAGCAGTCAACTTTCCCCTCATACACGGTAGACAAATTTGACAATAATCAGTTCCGCTGGGCCGAATAACAATACGCAGCTTGCTTCTGAATTTTTACTTTGAAACTGGATAAATTTATTCTAACTTTAAACTGAAGTTATTTGAATTGAAACGAGATTTTCCAGATCACCTTGTGGAAAGTTGCGTAAAGTTTTTAGAGGAGTAATATCTTTTTCTGTACAAAAATCAATTGAATTTTGACGAATTTTTCTGCTAAGTGAAAATAATCGAAACATGACCACTAGTCATCTGGTTCTTAATTGTTTCGTTTTGGTTACAGGTTCTGCAAATTGGCTTTCCATTTAGTCAGCAGATTTTTCCAAATTCATTCCCTGGTTCCAGTGACAACGATTGCCCTCGAGACATAACTAAAGACCAGTAAGTTATTCTACGTAAAAAGAAAAAGACAAATCTGTAAATATATTCCAGTAAATATCTTCAAACGGAAGTTTTACTCTACATAGAGATAATCTCAAAAATACTTTGAAGAGAACGAGTAAAATTGAAAACTGTTTCAGAGCCTTGCAAGAAGGATGTTTGAATGCGGACCACCCTGATTCATATGGTCATTACAGAGAGGCCAAATATGCTGCCATAAAACACCACTGGTGGTGGAAGGTAAATAAATATATCGACAATAGTTGACATTATTCGGCCTTTTAAGTGTGCTTATATTTATCAATTAGACCCTTAAAAAAGTGAAAATGTAATATAAATCAAAGATGAATGAATGTTACGACGAGGTCTGTTTAGTAAACTGGAATATGTGAATTTTCTTTAAGATAAGCAACGGATTTTCCCTGGTGGATTTCTCATCATGAAATGTAACCTCGAATAGAAACATCTTATCTCAAGTAGAGTATTGCCCATTATAGCATCCAAACGTTAATAAAAACGCTAACAGCTTTGTAAATTCACAAACACCATACTTGATTACTTTAGGGTAATCTTTAGTATGTAAAATTTTGGATTTCAAGTTAAATTTAACAGCTGAAGTGTGTTTTTTAGTTGAATTACGTCATTGAAGTGTGTTTTTTAGTTGAATTACGTCATTGAAGTGTGTTTTTTAGTTGAATTACGTCATGAATTACGTCATGAGTTTGCATGAGAAAACTGAGGGAGTGGACGTGCCGGTGCTTCTGATTGAGGAAGATCATTACTTAACCCCAGACGCAATTCAGTTTCTGGACGAAATCACCAGTCTGAAGAAGTCCCTTTGCCCCAAATGTCTATTCACACAACTGGGCGATTATTCCAAATTAAAAGGCAACTCAATGATGAATTCTATCCAAAAGGTAACAATAGATCCGAAAAGATAAATTGGAGTTTTTGGATTCAACGAGATTTTCTTGCCTCTTCTAAAAGCAACTTTCTCTTTCCACAATTGTTAGTAAATGGAAGTAATCACTTAACCCCGGGCCAATAAAGTTTTCGGCAATAAGGGTCAAAAAGCCAAATTATGGTATTATGGCAAATAATGATTTTCTGATATTAAACTACATTAAATAGAACCACAAAAGAGCGGATATTTTGATTTCAGTGAAAGAAAAATAATTTACATGCAATTGCTGATATCGTAAATATCAATGTTTGTTTCTGTAGTTTTTTAAGTCCGTATTGGGAATTGCTCCAAAAGAGCCACAATGGAATAAGGTAAAGTTCATACTTAGTATTTTTATTTGTGTCATCTTCCCAAATTGCTGCTAATCGTGGTTCACAGAAAGTAAAGAAAGTTTGTTAAAAAGAAAGTCAGCCATGCATATCTACAAGCCCGTCAAAATTGGAGTCTTCATGTTCAAGTATAGAGATTCCCACCTTTTTGACTCTAAACAATACAAGTTCACTCGCTACTTTTTGTTGCCTTTGAAGTCCTCTTTGAAGTAAGTTCTCTTTTCCTTTCGATTAAATTAAAATGCAGTGATTTTAAATTGCTTACTTATAATTAGTAGCAAAAAGTTCGGACAGACAAAAAAAATTAAAAAGAGCAAGTGAACTTTTTCAGACAATTTTTGCATGCAAAAGATAATTTTTAGACATAAAGTATGTCTCAATGTCACCTAAAAATTCAAGTTTGCATGCAAAAATTGCTAAAAATCGGCCTACTGCTCTTTTTAATAATTTCTGTCCTATCGAACTTTTTGCAACTCTCTATAACACCGTTTTAATCAAAATGAAAAAAGAACTTACTTCAAAGAGGACTTCGGTAAACATGAAAGAATAAAGCAAGAAAGTTTTGGCCATTTAAGGCCAGGCAATTTTGCGCTACTTAATTCGCGTTAGTTTTGAAAAGAAATGATCTTGCCAATATTTCGGATTGTTAACTTAATTCGAACCAAAAACGAGCAATCTTTGAACGAACGTCATAGGCCCGCAATTAATTAAGTGTTCTTTGAAAAAATTGGCGTGATTCTCCAGACATTTTCAGTCGTTATAGATATTTAAAAAAGGTTCCTTAATGCGAAAAAATTCAGAATGATTCAATTTTAAAATCATTAACAATTGGCCTATTTTTTGTTGAAACTGCGAAGGAGGAAAACGACTCAATCATAATTTGTTTTTGGCCGTTGCAATTGTTTACAATTTCAGCAACGCATAAAATGAATGTCAAAAAATTTGTTTTGCCAGGAATATAACGTCAAATTGTTATGAATTAGCCCATGCAGATTTTTTTTGGATTAGTGAAACATCTGAGTCTTGGGTAATTTGTGAAGTCTCATCTTAGCATGTATAATTGAAATAAACCTAGTTTTTCAATGTGATGCGTGCGTTAATTGCAAAATCAATTTTAGTGTGATAGGAGTTAAGATGAGGAGTTCATACGGCATCAGTTTTAGTGTAAAATTATAAAATAGGAGTTAAATTGTCGTGGATTTAAATTGTTTAGTAGTGAGAAGACTAGGTAGTAAAATAAATGTACGGTGTTACATTGGGACACCAGAACCGATACTGACAGGTTAATTAGCGACAACCAGCACAGATCTATCATTTAAAAACATTTTCATTTGTGAGTACATCTATTTTTTTTTTGTTCCAAGAGATTTGGTAAAAACTTTGTAGAAAATAACGCCAGTTGTTTTTTACCATTTTGGAAATCTGGACGAATCGAAATTTGACTTTCACATTGGTTGTAATTTTACCAGCTCGATTTGTTAAAATTTTTACGTTTTTTTTTTCATTTTTTTATCGGTTTAATAAATATCGGCCTAATTAATATTGACTTAGTGGCCTCTTATTGCGTTGTGACGTCCGAAAAATTTTTTTTGTGCGTCTATGTGTGCCCTTAGGGCAAGGAGACTTTTTTTATAAGTTGAGATTTTTTTGAATTTCTCTTCGGCATGAAGGGTTTCTGCTCAGGTTTTTCGGCTTTGTTACCGCTTGCAAATTGAAATTCAAATCCAATCAATCATCCGGCGCATCTGGCCCAGAGGTAAAAACACGGCTTGAGACGATAAAGATTTGCGTTTCGAATCAGGCTGGGCCCTTTTTTGCAAATTAGAGTTTTTGTCTTTTTTCGGACTATCGTCCGTCTGTCTTTTGTCGGTTTAGTTCCCGTAACTCAATGGCTTGGCTTTATTCCAAGTTGCTGTAATCCAAAAGCCTGAGACGACAAAGTCCAGGAGTTCGATTCCAGTTGAGATACGTTTTCTCGCAAATAGAAAATTTTGGCTGATATAGATTATTGTCTGTCTGTTTATTTTTGTCTGCATAGATTCGCACAAAGGAAAGACTGTTTTTGAAAACTTGGATTCTGTACTGTATAGCACTCACTCCGAAAGCTCTTTCTAGAGTTTTTAATGCTGCAGGCAGTTTTGTTCCGGATTTTTTGGGAGTTTTAAGGCAATTTTTTTTTACAAAAACGTTTTTTCGAATTTTTTCCCGTTGATTTTCATAATCATTCATATTTGAATCGCAAGTGGTGCAAAGCTCAGCTTCGCCTCTGTGTTTGTTTGTGCGAATGTATTTCATATCTTCATTTGTCGTCGGCGTTAATTTTCAGAAACGTAATTTTGGGACAATGGAAAAAATTGAAATAGTTTGGAATGTCAAACTTCAAAGCTAAACTACAAGCTGTGCGAAAGCTTCTGTTTGGTGGCTAAAAAACTTAGTGCGATGCCTATCATTGCTTGTTTTTTTTTTAATTAGTCCTCGGCCCATCTCCCGCCATTAAACCTTGGGCCTTTGTTTCCGAGGGGGATAGAGATATCATCCATCTTGCCGCAGCCGGTCCCACCTTGAGTAGGCGGATGACACTGGGTCAAAATTGTCTGCGTTTGCTGAAAATATCAGACATATTGAAGATTTTGCGAACTGTATTTTTTCAATCTTCGATTGAATATATTTTTATTACACTTGCGAAAACAAGTGTCTTGTAAACGGGAACTAGACTTTCTTCCCGTAAACAACTGTTCCTTAATCTGAAATTGAAATAGCTGTCTTTCACTGTGTTTTGTCCAGCAGTGTAATTTCCGTTAAGCGGAACAAATTGCTGATTGACTCCGAAGCAATGGGAAAAACGGGTATGGTGCAAACATCCGATATGTCAAACATCCGAACACTTATAATAATTGCGTAATAATATGACGTAAGAATTTCTAAAACAAGAACTTCTTAAACAGTCCTACCCTTTGCTGGCAATCTCGCGACACTTTGGCGAGACCGCAGCGATCCGCCGTCAATAGGCCAGTACAGCATCTGTTAAACGAACGGTACAAATCGGATCTTTGCCCTACTTGTTGAAAAATATCGGAATTTTGCCCTAGTATTGCTGGTTTTTGGATGTTTGCAGCACGTTTTGGACTTTCGGAAATTTGGTTTTGTTCCATAACATCATTTCTTTTTTGATTCAATGATTCAAGTGTTTGAAATTTTAGTTTTTTGGTCGGAGAAAGTAAAGTTGTCCACGAAATTTCAGATTTTTTTTGTATATTTTTTTACCGGTTTCCGGAATCTGAATTAACTGTGAAATTTGCCGGAATCCGGTACATCTCTAGTCATCATTTGTTCCAGAAGTTCAAAGAGCCTTTTTTCAAATTCAAAAAACTAGTCAGTATTTTTTTTGTTAACTTACGTTCATTGACTTTTTCCAACTGTTTGTTAACTTTGTTGGGAATTGAATCTTGTTTTACCAAATTCTGAAACCCCATAAACTGCGCTCAAAGATATGACCATAATAAGTTTGAAATTTGTAAAATATAAAAGTGACTATTCGGCTTGTAGATATAATGGATGTCTCAAAAGGATTGGTTTAACCGAATTAACGCCAGTAACATCCAATCATAATGGATTCATTACAATATATATCATACTTTAAATCATATGTAGACATGTCATCTTAATGAACAGCGTGATGCAGTCCGATTAATGGTTTGAAGTTGATCGAAAGTCAAGAAAAGTGAATCGCATAAAATGGTGGCTGAAAATGACAACCTGTTTAGTTTTTATAGCGACTATCTTTCTTTCTTGCTTTTTTGATATTTCGAAAAAATTGTGACAGTCCCGATTGAGGTTTGGGTTACACATAATACCTGGTCACGGCTTCAGAAAACAGTATTTGTAATTGTTGTTTAAAATGAGTGTACGTCTTCCCCAAATATTTGAAATTGATTTACCGGGTGACGGTTTGCCTAAAGGCGCTAATTATGCAGAAGGTCAGAATGACAGAAAATCTTACCATAAATAGGACTGAATTTGTCAATATTTTCAATTTCTGAATTCTTATGAACGAACATAACTTTCTGTCAATTGTTCCTTCTGTCATTAGGGACTTCCATTGTAGTACTTTATGCTTAAATGGTTTTTCTGGACTTGATTTACGCTTTGATTAGCTAGTCGAACACTGAAGAAGAAACTGTTGATGTTTCGACCACGAAGTGGGAAAGGAACTAAAGCTTAAAGTTTCTTTTTCTTACCGCGCGAAACCCTTCATGTGGTGAGTCGATCGATGTTTCAAAACTTCGAAAAAGATTTTCTCGAAAAAAATGTATATCTCATAAAAATGTTCAATATTATTTCGACTTCCCAAACTAGTACCGTCAAAGTACTGTAATTCAACCTTGCAGTGTACACCCCTCCCCCTTAGAAAAAAAACAACCGAAAGTCTAGAAAAAAATCAGGAAGTCTTTTGTTTTTTGTTTGTAACTAAGATAATTGTAGTGCCGCCAGCGAATCTTGTTTCTAATCAGTGTTTTGCGGAATGATTTATGATAAAATTTTGACAGACTTGAATTGCTTGCAGTTGAAATTACAGACGCTTAAAAAGTGAAATAGATCCGACAAAAAACTGTTCATCATTTCCTTTTTTCGGAACGAGTAGTCGGTCGCTAGGTACCAAACTTGACCTCAAACTTAAAATGAATTGCTATTTGTATTTAATTCTGTATCCTTCATTTCATGAGCGAAGATCAGTGTTGACTTCGAGATTATTCTGAATTGTAATATTGTGATGTCTTTTTCTAGCTTCGGATCGACCAGTACCTGTCCAACAGGAACAACATGGGAATCATCATCGACAAGGCTGCCTTTGAGAAACTGACGAGCAAAGAGTGCGCGGAGGTGTTTTGCAAGTACGCTTAACGACTGTCAAGTTTTACAGAAAATTTGTTCAGTCATTTTTTCCAAAATATTAGTTGAATATTTGTTAAATATCAAAATATATGTTTCCCAGATTATCCCGTTTAATTATAATAGACATTTCATTCACGAAGATGTCCTTATTTCTTTTTAAGGTGAATGATTTGCGATAAACATCCGTTTTTTGAAATGTGATGCAAAATCGGCTCACATAAATGAGTATAATTGACCAAAATATTATTTGAGCACTATATTATGGTAAAAAACGATTTACGTTAGTTCAGAGCAAGGATGGAATTATTGACTACTTAACTAACAAGGGTGGAGTTTTTAATAACTAGGTAGTTAAGCTGTTAACAAGATCGAAGTGGCCCTGTTTGGCAGGTACGACGACTACAACTGGGACTGGTCCATCAATGCACAGTCGCGTCAGTGTTCTTCTGCGGGGGAGGGGGGAATGGCTTCTTCCTTTCTAACTCTGGTCCCCCACATTCCCAGGATATTTCATACGGGCATCTGGTGAGTGTGCAGCGGTTGATTGGCTTACAACTATTTGAAAACTTTTGGTTGTCAGAATTGTCAACCTGATTAAAACGAACATAATTAGCGAAGGTGACTAGTTCGGTTTCATTTCGGTTCGACGATCGAAAGGAAGTTTTCTTACAAGCGTAACTGTCAAGTGATCTGAATCTACTTTAAAATATCAATTTCTGACCGATTAAAGCAATCAGGAAAACCTGGCGTTTTTTTTTCGATCAAAGGTTATCTTCGCGATCAAAGCTAAAAATCCCAAAAAAAGTTGCCTTGAATCGCTTTCTATTTTTTTTCTAAGAATAATTATAATATTTAGTGGGGTCCACAAGAATATAAACCGACAGCAAATGAAATCTGCCCAGTGCAGTCCAAGAGCTGCGATAAGAGATTTCCTCAACAAGTACAGTCTTGCTCTGAAAGATGACAGCTCTCAAAGAGACTACTCACTGTCAAACAATGTGCAGACAGCCCATCGTACCCAGAAGAAATTCAAACCTAACGGAGGATGGGGGGACCCCAGAGACCACAAGTTCTGTCTGGAGATGGTTGCGAAAAATCGGATGTAATTTCGTATGTGAAAGACAAAACAAAGACGAGTTAGTTATCTTTAGGAATGAGTATATTCAGTCATATGTGCAGTAATCGATTGCAATGAGCTAAAATCATCGAGTGAATTCATTAATATTTATTGGTGCTGCCTTTTTATTTAGGAATAAATATGTTAAGTCGAGACATTTGTTTTTTTTATCTGTTATTTGTTTTGCTAATTGAGGAAAATCCAGAGGTGGATCTAGGATTTTTTCGAAAAGGGGGCGTATTTTCAAAAAGCCACGTTTTATGGCCCTTTTTCATGGTTTTTGTTTCAGTGTGCTTTCTCTTAAATTTAGTGCTTATTGGCGACAAAGGCGCCTTTATAGAGATTTGAGGGTTAGTCGGCGAAAGATGGTTGCCATAAAATAGTAGCATAGGGGAATTTCTGCATGGTCAAGGGTGGAGTCCCTGAGAAGGGGGCTAAATCTCTAGATCCGTCCCTGGATAAATCGGCTGTGTTCATTCCGTTTGAGTCATTTTGTTTTCGAGAATTTTCGGCAGATAGTTCGAATGGTCCAAATTATATCTGATTCAAATTTCAGGTTTTCCTAGTTGTCTCACGTGTTACTATGGCTGAATTCGTGATGTAAGGCATGAAGAACAAATGTATTCACAATAGTTAGTTTGTTCACCATGCAAAATTGCATTAAATTATGACAACGTAAAAGTAGCTTTGCAGAACTGAAATTCAAATTTGAGGGGGGGGGGGGGGTCGTTGGAAAAGAGCCTCCTCATTTTTTGTTACGAAAAGTTTTGTTCGATAAGCGAATTTTGAGAAAACTTCAAAGACGCAATTTTAGAATTTTTAAGGCAACGTGCCTATAGATCAAATTGATATCAAAAGCACAAATTCAAAATCCTGAAAGGGCAATAAATAAGCAATAAAATCATAATTGCAGCGGATTATCTGCCAGTGTGTTTTCTAAACATCTATATTTATTAATTGTACAAAATATATAAAATCGAAAATTGAAAGTAGATAATCCTTACTTTTTTGTGTTAAGCAAGCTGATGATTAAGGATCAGAAATACTTTAAATTAAAAACAGTGTTTAAGTGGTGTATGAATAGCACGTAATGTTAAGCCCTCAATTATTTGCAAAAAATGGGCCCTTTTTCCTTTTCACCCCACCTCACATAAGCATCAATATTATGGTGTAACATGTGGTTTTAGATGTTTTAGAAGGTCCAAATATGAAGACCAAATATGTTTGTCATGGCTTGATTAGTTGGCATGCCAATTTTTTGTAACAATCTGAAAACGTGAACAATATTTTATTAGTAAAAGTTTGCATGTGGCGAGAAAGGAAAAAGAGCCTGCGATGTTCATTTAACAATTTCTTAAGCTCTCTGGTCTTATGCGGTAATTCAAAGTATCAAAACACTATTGTCGGGAGCTCATTGTGTCATACATTTGCAGCTGATTAGGATGTGTTTTCCAGGAAAAAACCTCTTTGGTCGTTAATATTTAAATATTGTTTCACAGATTTGACGATCGAGTACTTAATGCAAGAATTTGACTTCCGATTGGGAACCTCGAGTTTAAAGAAAACTCAAAAAAAATCCAAATTTAAAATAGGATGTATGAATTGTTTTTGTAAATTTTGAGTTTTTATTTTTATTCCAAATCAGGCCTAGTTAAATTTATTGGAACAATCAGGACTTCCGATTATCCAAATCATATAAATGAACAATACCCAACCCTTAAAAAGGCTAGTTTAAAATTTAAGTTAATGCAAATTTTGATTTGCTTGTTAATCAACCAAATATGCTTGCTATGAACTAATCAACCCGCATGCCATTTTTTTGTATCAATTGGACAATGTGAGCAGAAAAATTACTCCTAAAAGTTTGCAGGTGGGGCGGAAAAAGAGCTAAAAATTGGAAAAAAAATTTGTCAATTTCTTTTTTTTTACTGTCGTTTTATATGTTTAAGAATCGATGAACGTAGTTCAGTTTCTCGTATAGGTCGTAATGATGTTTTTAGATAACTGCTGAAGCTCAAAATTGATTTTTTTGCTGTTTGAATTTTGATTTCTTTCAGTTCATTTCATTTTTAAGAAGAAAAAAACTCCACAACCAAACTGCAAAAGTGTTAAGGTTACGAAAAGTTTGATCAAAATCTAGTTTAAAAAAGTGGATTTTACTTATAATATTTCCCAGCGGAATAAAAATTACCTATTGATCCAGATTTCTCAAATTAGGTTAATTTTATCGAAAAAATGTCAATTGAAAACTGTTAAAGAAAGTCAAAGAGCTTTAAGGCCATCAATTTTAAATTTCGAAGTTGAAATTTTTCTGTGATTTTTCAAAAAAGAAGTGAGTTTTTTTTGTGCTTCCAACTGTGTGTTTCAGAAACCTTCAGTGATTATTGGGTGGCTGGCCTTAATTGTAAATGAAAATGAATCAAATGATTTCACAAATGCACATGCTCAATTCTATCCATCTAATTGAAATGAACCGCAAAATAGACATTTCCATTTACCACCCCTTTTTTGCTTTTTTGAGTGAAGTCGGGGGAAAAAAATTTGAAAAAAAAATCCCATAGCGTTCCTCATTTTCATACGATCATACAAAGTTTTTTAACGGCCGTGTTTTTATTATCCTCGAAAGCGTTCGGTCGCAGACATACATACAAACTTCTTTCTTTTATAAGTATAGATTACACAGCGCGCTTGCAACCTTAAAGGTACTAAAACATACAAGACTGCTCGTATATCAGGGCGAGTTCTTCTATGTTCCGATTGGATTTTAAGGCCAAATAAAAAAAATAGTTGTAAAACTGATAAAACAATCGATATTTTTTTTTCGTTTTTTCTTTTACCTCACTCGCTATGTAAAGTACAAAGGCATGTATGTGCGCAATGTTTCCCAAATTGTGACCAAGTGATTTGCATAAACTCAATTTTGAACGTGTTAATCCGCCTCTTAAGCGTGTCATAAGAACGCAATATTGACCCCAAAAATCCCAAAATCAGAGGTGAAAATTTCGTCAAAAACGGTTAGTTAAAAACCCGAATTATTCTGTATTTTTTTGATAAAATGATACTGAGGAGAGATTGTAATTACTCGAAAAAGCAAACATAGCTCAAGAGGTAACCTTCTCAATACCAAAATTTTCTTGTGTAAGTTTGTTTCGGCGATTTAAGGCACGATGAAGAAAGTAGTCTTCATTATGACGTTTCTTTTGGACTGTAGATTTCGTTATTTATTAAAATAATTACCGATTTTTTCCTCGATTCAATCAAAACGTTCAAAGCCTACAATCGAGCTGATACGTGGTGCGAGACTGCCAATCCCGAGACACGAATGCTTATGAAAATGACTGGCGGTTATCGAGTTAATGGATAAGGATGAAATCCGCAATATGTGGATTATGTCAATTAAATTTCTACGACGAGAGCTACAGTAGGATGAAATAATTGACAATCGCTCATAAAAGAATTGCGAAAACACATCACTTGATTAAAACAGAAAAAGAGGAATAGATCAATTTGCCTGTCTACAATCTCAACAAATATGATTTTTTGTGTTCAGATCAGAGCGATGAACGAAAAAGGTGCTATACAAAGAAACATGTCATTTCAGATTCACAATGGACTTCAATGACTATGATGACTCCCAGCTAAAGTTAAGCCTTTGCCAAATACAGATACTTTTTGAACTGATATTACTCTGCTACTAATGCTTGTGAAAAGCGGTGTCAAAATGTTTATACCGAGAAAAAGTTGCTTCTGAGCTGTTTAAAAAACATGACTGTGCGTAAATTTTACAAGAGTGCATAAAAAAGACAGTGCCCAAAAGTTCAATTCGATGATTGCAAAGTATGGCAGTACCTAAGGACTCGTACCTTCTTTTAACAATTGTCTTTGTGGGACTAGGATTCTACTACCTATGCTCTCGATCTGTGCCGGCGCCTCCTATGGACATGGGCATAGTAGACATGCACCGTCAGCATGCAGACATTCTGGGCGATGTTCCAGGTCCCTCGCTGGACGGGATGGAGATGCTTCGGAACCCGAAGAGCGGTCCCATTGTGGACCATAATATAAAAGGGCCCATTTATAATTTCGACATTCCAGGGTTGACAGAGGGATGGATCACTCTGTCGGATAAGAAGAGAATCTACAAAATATCAGTTACACCTCTAAGTAAGCAGTTGAGATTTTTTTGCAAATTCTAATGTTTAAATGGCATAACATTGTTTAGGTATCTAATGTATACAGTGGGTTCTACCGAGGAAAGTTTTCTTAATTTTTGTTAGGTTACTCGTAGGATTTTTAATATAAAGCAGGGTTTTAATGGAGAGTTGGTTTTAATTACTTGTTGGGCTTGTTTTGGTTTGAAGGTTTTCTCGATTATATGCATTGTGGTGCTGCTTTCTCATAATTGAAAGACTCAATTCAAGTTCGGCCTTGCTTTCTTTGGGCCTTTATGGATTTTAATTAGATGGGGCAGCTGAGTTATGACCTTTGGCCTGTACTCATAGAGTAATTTCAGATAGGGTACACCGTCTGTTCGTCACGCTGTCTTTTTTTCGGCCGGATAGATTCGTGCAACTTCTTAGTCTAATACCGATCTTAATCTTGCTCTTATATCTCCTAGTCTCAATAGATCTAGTGTATACTGGTTTATGCGAGTTAATTGCCAGAAGAAGAACAACTGTATTCTAAGTTGTATTCAATTTGTTCTGGTGCTGAAACTACAAGTAGTTTCAGCACTTACAAATAAGTGTCAATGTTAGAGATGGAATATGATTGGTTAGTTAGTAATATTTAGTGGTAATTTATCAATAATATAATTCGTTTATAAATACTAGTTCAAAACTGGTTCCACAGCACTAGAAATTTTTAAATGTCCATGTAAAACTAAAAACCTCTTTTTTTTTTAGAAGAAGTCGAAGGCACACGACCACCAATATTACTTCTTCACGCGTCACAGTACAACCCGTACGCATGGGTCGAGACAGGGCTTCTGTTCAAACTACGTGACAACGGGTTCAAGGCTGTTGCAGTTGACATTCCAGGATATCATATTGCCAGAAACTTACCCAAGCTAACGACCGAAAGTGAATATTTAACATTCCTGAGTGACATAATCGAGTTTGAACACATACAAAATTGCGTCATAATTGCTCCGGAAATGGCAACCGATTTTGTAATGCCGTTACTGAAAAGTAGAGAGGATTTAATCCAGTCGGTTGTCATAGTTTCACCTTTACACGAGTTTAATTTCTCGGCGATAATGAATACAAGAGTCAAAACGCTGCTTATGACGGGAGAGTTCGAAAGTTTTGAATTGAAAAGATACACAAGTCCTAATATTGAGCACATAATCATTCCACTAAGTGCCAACTTTTTCTTCGTGGAAAATAGTGTGGAATTCAACAAGCTGATTATGCAATTTTTGAACGGACTTGTGATTCATGGACACGGCATCGCTGGCAAAGAAAATGATTTATGACAAAGACTCAAGTGACCCTTGTTTTCATGGCAAGGATTTTTCACATGAGTCCGCAATTTACAGAACAAGTTTCGTGCAATAGTTATGTAAAACTGAATTCAAGAAAAAAAAACGATGATAGAAATCTAACGAAATATATTTATGATAGTGTCTTTACGAGCTAAGTCGGTAATCTAATCCTCACAATGTTGTTTATACATTTTCTTTCTAAAGTTGAACTGAATGATTCTAAAAATTACTATTTAAAATATTTGGTTGTTTGATGCGATTTTTTTGACGCTCGGGTTTATTAGCTGTGACAATTTTCGATAATTCAAACCAAAATTTTCTAGTTGTTTTTTTTTTCCGTAAAATTAATGCGATATCTTCTCAGTACAAACAAAAGTTGTTCAGTTAAAAAATTGGACAACGTGACCATATCCCCCCTAATTAATTTCAGGTAAATTTTCTTGAGCCAATCCGAATTATTGATACTGGTTACTTCTGCCGTTCAATTTTAGTGGGTGATCGTTCACTTGCTTAAGATTGGGGGAGAATTGTACACATGGGCCAAAAAAATAGATTAAGTCGCAATCTTTGAAAATCTCAGAAATTAATATTTATCAAACGAAATTGTCGTAAAACTTGAACACCTGGTAAATGAATACTTATTTTTTTTAACGGAAACAAAGGAAAGCCGATAGGTCCATCTCTGTTACATCCCTAAAATGAAAAAACTTTCTTCTCGGGTGCATTTTAGATTTAACCCGTCAGAATTAGGTACTGAATGTAATGATCAGAATCGGTGTTGTGGTCTATTGTAATCAAGCCCATTGTCACCGGAGACCCACTATCAACCCGTACGCATGGGTCGAGACAGGGCTTCTGTTCAAACTACGTGACAACGGGTTCAAGGCTGTTGCAGTTGACATTCCAGGATATCATATTGCCAGAAACTTACCCAAGCTAACGACCGAAAGTGAATATTTAACATTCCTGAGTGACATAATCGAGTTTGAACACATACAAAATTGCGTCATAATTGCTCCGGAAATGGCAACCGATTTTGTAATGCCGTTACTGAAAAGTAGAGAGGATTTAATCCAGTCGGTTGTCATAGTTTCACCTTTACACGAGTTTAATTTCTCGGCGATAATGAATACAAGAGTCAAAACGCTGCTTATGACGGGAGAGTTCGAAAGTTTTGAATTGAAAAGATACACAAGTCCTAATATTGAGCACATAATCATTCCACTAAGTGCCAACTTTTTCTTCGTGGAAAATAGTGTGGAATTCAACAAGCTGATTATGCAATTTTTGAACGGACTTGTGATTCATGGACACGGCATCGCTGGCAAAGAAAATGATTTATGACAAAGACTCAAGTGACCCTTGTTTTCATGGCAAGGATTTTTCACATGAGTCCGCAATTTACAGAACAAGTTTCGTGCAATAGTTATGTAAAACTGAATTCAAGAAAAAAAAACGATGATAGAAATCTAACGAAATATATTTATGATAGTGTCTTTACGAGCTAAGTCGGTAATCTAATCCTCACAATGTTGTTTATACATTTTCTTTCTAAAGTTGAACTGAATGATTCTAAAAATTACTATTTAAAATATTTGGTTGTTTGATGCGATTTTTTTGACGCTCGGGTTTATTAGCTGTGACAATTTTCGATAATTCAAACCAAAATTTTCTAGTTGTTTTTTTTTCCGTAAAATTAATGCGATATCTTCTCAGTACAAACAAAAGTTGTTCAGTTAAAAAATTGGACAACGTGACCATATCCCCCCTAATTAATTTCAGGTAAATTTTCTTGAGCCAATCCGAATTATTGATACTGGTTACTTCTGCCGTTCAATTTTAGTGGGTGATCGTTCACTTGCTTAAGATTGGGGGAGAATTGTACACATGGGCCAAAAAAATAGATTAAGTCCCAATCTTTGAAAATCTCAGAAATTAATATTTATCAAACGAAATTGTCGTAAAACTTGAACACCTGGTAAATGAATACTTATTTTTTTTAACGGAAACAAAGGAAAGCCGATAGGTCCATCTCTGTTACATCCCTAAAATGAAAAAACTTTCTTCTCGGGTGCATTTTAGATTTAACCCGTCAGAATTAGGTACTGAATGTAATGATCAGAATCGGTGTTGTGGTCTATTGTAATCAAGCCCATTGTCACCGGAGACCCACTATCAACCCAGAGCCACACTTGGTAGAATTGATGAAGCTTTCGTCTATTGTGGTCGTAATTTAAATTTGTCAAGGCTTCATTGGCTAGCTAATCGGCATCCCTATTTCCACTGGAATTTTGTAGAACCGATCTGAATGTTCTCCCCTTAACTGTTTGGACCTTCATGATGCTGAGCTAATGACAAAGTATATCAAGAAATTACGCAACGCATGTGCAATTACAATCCCAATCAGATGGGTTTTTCCTGTTCCCGGGTTTCCTGAATAAAACAAGTTGTTTAGTTTTTAAAAAAGCAATCGCTCTGAAGACTTTTTTTGCGTGTATAAGTTTTCAAAAACGGATTTTTACTATGTTTTAACTCAAGTCATTAAGACATGAGTTTTTCAATGACGATTGCTTGAAAGTTTGTCTAGATAAATACAATTTTCCTCAAAAAAAAACGATTAATCATATGATGGCTCGCTTTGTTAGATGATACGTGTTCGGTTAATTTTTTTGTGAAGAAAAATAGCAATGGAAAACAGGTGAAGAATTTACTAACAGAAACCTAATGACTTTTGTTGCTGAAATCAAAAGCAAAAAAAAGAACAAGATTCAAAAATTTTACAAACAGTAATATTCGGCAGCTGAAAACAGTCGCCGTTTGCAATTGCCGTTGCTCCACCAAATGACTTCGTTGCCCTTGACTTTCGGTAACACTATGTCTATGGCTGCAAAAATTTCCGCTGGTATCAGACTTATTCCTTCAAATGAAACGTGTTAAAAGTGATGACGGTTTCGTCTATAGTGGTCGTAATTTAATTTTGTCAAGCTTCATTGGCCAGCTAATCGGCATCCGTATTTCTCATTTGAGTTTTGTAGAACCGATCTTAATGTTCTCCCCTTTGCTGTTCGGAACTTCTTGATGCTAAGCTAATTACGAAGCATATCAAGGAATTACGCAACGCATGTGCAATTACAATCCCAATCAGATGGGTTTTTCCTGTTCCCGGGTTTCCTGAATAAAACAAGTTGTTTAGTTTTTAAAAAAGCAATCGCTCTGAAGACTTTTTTTGCGTGTATAAGTTTTCAAAAACGGATTTTTACTATGTTTTAACTCAAGTCATTAAGACATGAGTTTTTCAATGACGATTGCTTGAAAGTTTGTCTAGATAAATACAATTTTCCTCAAAAAAAAAACGATTAATCATATGATGGCTCGCTTTGTTAGATGATACGTGTTCGGTTAATTTTTTTGTGAAGAAAAATAGCAATGGAAAACAGGTGAAGAATTTACTAACAGAAACCTAATGACTTTTGTTGCTGAAATCAAAAGCAAAAAAAGAACAAGATTCAAAAATTTTACAAACAGTAATATTCGGCAGCTGAAAACAGTCGCCGTTTGCAATTGCCGTTGCTCCACCAAATGACTTCGTTGCCCTTGACTTTCGGTAACACTATGTCTATGGCTGCAAAAGTTTCCGCTGGTATCAGACTTATTCCTTCAAATGAAACGTGTTAAAAGTGATGACGGTTTCGCCTATAGTGGTCGTAATTTAATTTTGTCAAGCTTCATTGGCCAGCTAATCGGCATCCGTATTTCTCATTTGAGTTTTGTAGAACCGATCTTAATGTTCTCCCCTTTGCTGTTCGGAACTTCTTGATGCTAAGCTAATTACGAAGCATATCAAGGAACTACGCAACGCATGTGCAATTACAATCCCAATCAGATGGGTTTTTCCTGTTCCCGGGTTTCCTGAATAAAACAAGTTGTTTAGTTTTTAAAAAAGCAATCGCTCTGAAGACTTTTTTTGCGTGTATAAGTTTTCAAAAACGGATTTTTACTATGTTTTAACTCAAGTCATTAAGACATGAGTTTTTCAATGACGATTGCTTGAAAGTTTGTCTAGATAAATACAATTTTCCTCAAAAAAAACGATTAATCATATGATGGCTCGCTTTGTTAGATGATACGTGTTCGGTTAATTTTTTTGTGAAGAAAAATAGCAATGGAAAACAGGTGAAGAATTTACTAACAGAAACCTAATGACTTTTGTTGCTGAAATCAAAAGCAAAAAAAAGAACAAGATTCAAAAATTTTACAAACAGTAATATTCGGCAGCTGAAAACAGTCGCCGTTTGCAATTGCCGTTGCTCCACCAAATGACTTCGTTGCCCTTGACTTTCGGTAACACTATGTCTATGGCTGCAAAAATTTCCGCTGGTATCAGACTTATTCCTTCAAATGAAACGTGTTAAAAGTGATGACGGTTTCGTCTATAGTGGTCGTAATTTAATTTTGTCAAGCTTCATTGGCCAGCTAATCGGCATCCGTATTTCTCATTTGAGTTTTGTAGAACCGATCTTAATGTTCTCCCCTTTGCTGTTCGGAACTTCTTTATGCTAAGCTAATTACGAAGCATATCAAGGAATTACGCAACGCATGTGCAATTACAATCCCAATCAGATGAGTTTTTCCTGTTCTCGGGTTTCCTGAAAAAAAAAACACTTGTTTAGTTTTTAAAAAAAGCAATCGCTCTGAAGATTTTGTTTGCGTGTGTAGGAGCGGAAAAACCATCCGTATTATTTACTTGCAGCATCTCGCTGAACACTTTCTCTGCAAAGTTCGGTTTTCTACCAAACGGTAGTACTCATCCTAGTTGAAATCGCAGATCGGTCATCATATATTGTTTTACAAAATTGTCGACATCCTGCCCTGAATAGTTATGTGAATCATCTAGCCATTATGCATAGCGGAAGGAATCAATAGTATTTGCTTAGAGTCAAACAAGTCTAGTTCAGTATGAAAAGTTCCGAAACGAAGAAGGAAGCCTCATAATAAGTTGTTCTCATTTCTTCGATAAATAAATTTTGGAAAAAGTGTCTGGTTTTAAAGGTGGTTCCTGGCATGTATCGACATAACAATAACGCAATTTCGAGTCATTTTTTGTTAAAATCGAATGTATTCCACAAATTTCCAGATCTGAAAGAAAAGTAGTCATCGCTGTTATGTAAGAGTGGACCGCCAGATTTCGTAAAAATAATTGTCCTCGCAAGCAATAACTCCTAGGATTATTATCATTTCTTTCAAATTTATCAATAAGCTGAGATGTGAATATATTTTTTTACG